TAATTATAAACCTGTGTTTTCTATAAAAATTACTTCTTGCATGAATTTTGGGACACCCTATGTAAAACTATCTTTTTGCTTGGAGATATTATTTCAGATTCTGTGAAGCTCAGAATGCTCCTTGAGGTAAGAGTATTACTGCAACTATTCCTGAAAACACGAATATCAATGGATTTATATAAGTAATATTTTAATTGACTTTTAAAGAGAGACAAAGTGAAAGAGTAAGGGAAATACGGATCAGATGGCCTCTGCAAGCCCCCACACTGAGGACTGAGCTTGCATGCTCCACTTCCTTGTGTCATCACTGGGAGTCAAACTGGAAACCTTTCTGTGAATGGGATCATGCTCAACCTATTGAGGTCGATTTTCTATTTTATTATTAAAATATCACATTAGAACAAGAAAATGCAAGCTATGAGAGAATATACATAATCCTATCCTATTTATTTAAAAACAAAAATTGAAAAGATACAAAAGACAAAACTTTGACATTCCATACATTGTTAGAATGTTTTTAGAGAATACACATTGTTTAGCTATGGAGTTAAGAGTTTGAATGTTTACTACAGGTACCAGGACCTGGATTCAATGCTTTACATGCATTAATCCTCGCCCCAACCTGATATGGTTTAAACATCTGTCTTATAGAGAGGAAATCCAGGGTCAGAGACTCAAGGTAGATTGCCTGCTTGTAGAGTAAATAAAAGGCAATGTTAGAACCCATGTGTCTCTAACAACAGAGGTCTGGCTTCTAATGTTAGGCTCTGCTACCTCCTAGAGAGTAGAGTTGGTACTTCATAACCATTGGGATGGGCCAGCTGCTGTAGTCCCAAACTTTAGTGGCATAAAGAGGGCATCTTTCCTGTTCATACCAAATGTCCACCCTGGTTCTCCTGGGACTGGCATAAAGGAGGAGCCACCATGTAGATACCTGTTGACATTATCAGAGATGGGCAGCTGGGTGGCCAGTCTCAGTGGATTCAGAGTTTTCTTTTAGTGGTGACAGGCTTCACTCCCACCACATTTCATTGGTTAAAGCACATCACAGAGCTTCAGCCAACCTCAGGGGTCAGCAGCAGAAACTGGTATACTTGATGGGCCTCATTAAGGCGACCATATGGTGCCAACCTCTTTTGGGCTGTGCAAGGGCAAAGGAGAGGAGTAGGGACTGGTAGGAAATGGCAGTGGTAACCAGTCAGGATGGTTCAGTTTTTCCTCATTGAGATGGATTTTCTACCCAAGCTGCCCCAAACCATCTCTTTCAGGATTCAAAGGAATGAACTTCCAAAAAAGAAGGAGTTTGGTAAGATGCCATGGGCAGCAAACTCAACACCAATTCTGAGTGTGACTTTGGAAACATCCCTGGCTGCCTGGATTCCCCTACTATGGTCAAGGTGAAGACCCACATGTTAAGAGTGTTTACTGGGAAGGGTACAGGACTGTGAGCATCCCAGCATCCCTGTTCATTTCAACTAACATCAGTCAGTACCTGCTTCCAAGTCTCCTTTCTTTTGCATTGCCCTGGTGAGTGATCCCAGTGAGGATGATGGTGAAAAATGCTGATGTTAACATCAATGGTGATCCTGTGCTTTCCATTTGTTCTGTGTATGAACCTGTGATAAAGGGTCGCTGGATGGTTCTCCACACTGGTCCTAATTCTCCCTCCTGGCCTGTTTCGGGTGGGCCATGGACACCCAGTTAATGACCAGAGCCCAGAAGTCCAGGAGTGATGCTCCACGGAGTCCCATGCACCTTCCTGTATTAGTTGTCAGCCTAGCTTTGACATAGCAAGAGATACCCCTCTCCTGGGATGTCCAGTTCCTCATTTCCAGTGGGGACTTAGGAGCCTAGAAGTCTTCCCCCTCAGCTTTCCCTCACAAGAACTCATCCTCATATTCCTTCACAAGGGTCCTGGATCCTCCAACTCCTTCTCAAAGACTAGTGTCCTTCACAAATGTTCCCAATCCACACTCTGTATCTCCTGTCTGTCATCAGAGCCTTCCCCAGCTCCCCACCTTCCCACAGCCTAGACTTCTCTGAACTGACCCTATGCTTAATCCATTCTTGAGACTTGAGATGGAACCTCCGTAGGGACACCAGATGCCTGGAAGGGAAGAAGGGTTCACCTGGGAGTGGGGAAGAGGAACATATTGATGCAGAGGAAGGTGCCTCTACAATGCCTCCTCAGAGACTGCCTATGCACTTGCTCATTGTGGGGGTGCACAGACTCAGAGAAAACATACAGATAACCCAAGCACAGAAACACACAGGTACAAAACACTCCCAGCCTGTGCTGGGCACTCAGGTGCTGGGCTTATTTTCAGGTTTACACAGACCCACACTGTAGACATAGGCAATACCCTGAGGGGAACACAGGGTTGGGGGCCCCCATACAGTGCCACATGACACACAATGGACACTCCCCCATATGCTGGCAGAAAACCCTATCACCAATCCTGTCCCAGGGCCCTCCACTCTGTCCCCTCAATCTCACATCCCACAGTATACTGTCCCTCACAGTGCAGGGGCCATCACCTCACTTCAGGTGCAAGGGTCAGCTTTGCACAGGCCAAACTTATGGAGGGTGGAGACCATCCGTAATGCATCCCCCAATGTGGTATCATGTTGAGACCAAGCCTCTCCTTCTGGAAATGCTTGTACTGCAGAATGGTCTCATCATTGAAAATACACAGCACCATTTCCTGGAGAATCCATGCTACCTCCAGGACTGGTTAGGTGGTGGTATTTTTAATGAAATAAAAGTGGAAAATTACCCAGAAATGCAAAAATAGAGAGATTCCAACAATGCCGGTGGGGCTCAGGGTGTGTGTGTGGGCTGCTAAGAGGCAGGTGGTCTGATTTGTGGGCCTCAAGTATCAGGAGCTGATCCGGAACACCTGAGGGGGATCTGGGTTCCTCAACCACCTGAATCCAAAATAGCCCGGTCTCAAACCCTGGCTGGAAGGTGCTGAGACCACAAGGCCCATGTCCAGGTCCAGAGTTTTTCCCAGCCCCTTGGGGTTTAGTCTCAGGGAGCACAGATGTCATAATTACCTGTGGGTGACTGTGCAGCTCAGCCCCAGTTCCCCACCCTCCACACTGACAGCAGGGAACCTCCCCTCCTGTCCTCTCCCTCACTGTGAGCTCTGCCCTCATGAGAACCCTTATGGCTGGATCACCACAGGGTCACTGCCTGGTCTGTGATGGTGTTCACATGTGTTGACTCATTTGGTGAAAACACACACAAATATATTGATTAGAGTGAGACAGAAGAAACTCCCCTTTGTTGTTCCACTAATTTTATACATTACCTGATTCTTCCATGGGCCGTGACTGAGGATGGGACCTGCAACCTTGCTGTTATTAAGATGATGCTTTAATCAACTGAGCTCTCTGGCCAGGGAAATACTTATCAGGGGTTTTAAGTAAAATAATTAATGTATCTGAGAAGAGATAGATACCAGAACCACTGGGACGAGAGATAGTGGTGGAAGACTAGACTAAAATTCATGAAGTTTCGTAAGTGTTTTCTTTATATGGATATATCTGAAATACGCTATTACAAAGATAGATTATGTCCTTGCAGCAGTAATATCACATGCCAATTAGGAAGCACTGAAAAGCGGAGGATTTGGTTTCAGGGAGACAGGCACGTTTGGAAACATAAAAGTGTTTGTTAAAAAGTGTGTTTTAGCCTGGCCAATATTACTCAGTGGTTGAGTACAACCTATGAACCAAAAAGTCAAGGTCGGATTCTGGTCAGAGCATAAGCCAGTACTGCAGGCTTGATACACAGTATAGGAGCATGCAAGAGGCAGCTGATCAATGATTATCTCTCATCATTGATGTTTCCATCTCTCTCCCTTCTTCTCTGAAATCAATAAACTATTTTAATATGTTATTAAAATGTGTGCTTTAAATCAATTACACTTATATCAAACTTTTAAAAATGTTTAATACTTGCCATTTCCCAATAATCCAGTTGTTTCATTATAAATTTTCTTGAGCACTTTCATTGCTACTGTATCAGTATGCTGAAAATAGAATATAACGATGAACTACTGAAATATCTTTCCATGTCCATGTTCCATGTCATCATTTTGGCAGTTTGATCCTGGTGATGATCAAAGTATTTACACCAGGGAAATTGAGAAATATCACAAACATAGACTTCACTTAATGTGTTGTTATATGTTTAGACTTAAAGAACACTGGTGGAGAATATTAATTATGCAGATTAAACTTATAAGTGTATGGCATGAGTGGCTATTAATTGTCCATAGGATAAAAGTTGAGAAAAACAATTTTCTATCTAGATTTGAAAACCAATGGTTCCATATGGCAAAGAAGTCACTTGAGTCAGTGAGGAAGGAGTGAAACTCAAACACATGTCTAAGATGCTACACTGTCCTCCTATTGGTAAGAATAATAAATTAACTTAAAAAGTATGCAAAGGATCCTGAGCAGACATTTTAACAAAGGAGATAAAGACAGTGTAAATTGTGCAAGAAGAAATGCTCACCATCGAGAATTCTTAGGGAGCGGTAACCGGTTTGGCTCAGTGGATAGAGCATCGGCCTGCAGACTGAAAGGTCCCAGGTTCGATTCCAGTCAAGGGCATGTACCTTGGTTGCAGGCACATCCCCAGTAGGGGGTGTGCAGGAGGCAGTAGATAGATGTTTCTCTCTTATTGATGTTTCTAAATCTCTCTCCCTCTCCCTTCCTCTCCGTAAAAAAATCAATAAAATATATTTTTAAAAAAAGAATTCTTAGGGAAATGTTATTAAGCAAAAACAAGTTAACAGTATAGTCATTGCCTGGCCTACTATTTAAAAAAATAACCATCAATGTAAAACCTGGAAATTTCATTACTGTAGGTGGCTGAGAAGGCAAAGGGAATGACCATTTTAGATCACAGATCTGCATATCTTAAAATGTAACACATTCACCGACACTGTAACAGTTAAATAAAACATACACCTGTAGGAAGAACTGAATGCAATATTCCCAGCAGTTTTATTTATAAAACCCCAAATTTGGAAATAACCGAAACCATTGACAGATCAATGGATAGAGTGGTTATCCATAGAATACAATATTATTACCAATAAAAAAGTAACTATTTACATAAACAGTACTGTTGATTCTAAAAATACCTGTGTAGCAAGAAAGAAGTCATAGTTTGTTAAAAACTATACACCTTATAGTGCCTATAAAATTATGAAAAATATGAACTAATCTATTATAAGAGGACGTAAATCAATGGCTATATGGAGGGTAGAGAATCCAGAAGAGAATAAAAGGGAAAGAAATAAATACAGGGTTTGTAAAACTAGGTTAGAGTTGTTAGTATTGAAAATAATACAACGGTAAATAAATAATAACAGTATAAACTCTTGTGACTACTGTGTCTTATATTGTTGGGCATGATCACATTCACTGAAAGGTCATTGGTTTGATTCCAGATCAGGGCATATGCCCGCGTGGATCTGCAGTAACAGGCATGCAGGAGACAGGAGATTGATGTTTCTCTCCCTTTACCCTTCTCTCTAAAAATCAATAAAAATACATTTTAAAATATATAAAACTAAAGGCTGATGAAATTCATACACTTTTGATATTTCTCTTGAAATTTTCGTGTTTTCTTTGATTACAAAATCCACCATTATTACCCAGTACACCTAGTAGAAAAAGCCTTAATTGTGGTTCCAAATAAAAACATAGCTATTCCTCTCTTCTTAGAAAATTAAGATGGCAACTCTATATACACATGACCATCTCTCTCCTCATTTCCTGAGAGAATCATTGTTGCCTCTGTGGCAGCAAATACTGTCCAGAAGGGAAGGCTACTGCCATCAGATTGATCAGGAATGCTGAATTGTCACAAAACACACAACCTCGGACTAATTATACGATTATCCTTCCTTTAGCTTTGAGTTTTTCCTCTTGTGATAACCTTGAGGTGAACACCACAGCGGGGCCCAGGGAATCCCTAAAACCATGAGATTCTTTTCACAACCAATCACTTCAGCTACAAAAAGAACAAACAAGCTTCAGGACTGAGTCATTTATGGATAATGTTCAGAAGAGGCAATTTTCATCCAATATACTGCCATCTCTTCCACTCACTATGAAAACAGTGTCTGTCCCAATATTAGTTGGACTTCACAGTGTTACAAATGAAACCAGCCTATGATATTTCACACATCATGGCTCAGGGCTCCTGTGCAGTATGTAAGACATACTATGAACAGAGAATATAATTCATATTGTTCACAGAAGCACAACAAAGGACTCTTCTTCCACGTGATCATTGACCTCACCAATAATACAGGCACCAGGCTAAAAAATTAGAAAAAAAAAGCCATGCAGATTTTTGTTACAGGGCTTGGTTAGCAATAGAAAATCAACCAATATAAGACAAAGAGTGATTTTTTGTCATTATTATGTGCCTTCCAAAGCACAGAAAGTTTGGGACCCTACCATATCTGTTCCCTACTGCGTTTGACAGTTCACAACTATCCTTTCAAATTATCCCAGGCAATGAATATAACCCACAAAATTAGAGGTACAAAAGCAAAAAACACCTTTACTAAAAGATCATAAACCAGAACAGAGGATGGCAAGCAGTTTGTAAGTTGGTGAATTAGAACCTAAAAAGACTCATCAGAGGATAATGTGAGAACAATGACAGAAGCACAAAAAAGGACTCCTCTTCTGGGGGACCACTGACCTCACCAACATTAGAGGCACCAGGCTGAAAACTGGAACCAAAAGTTATAAAAACTTTCTTTCATTGCCTTCGTCAGTGGTATAAAATAAGCCATTATTGGACAAAGAGTGATTTTTCTGACATTATTATAGCTTTCCAAAGCACAGAAAGTTTGGGACCCCACCATATGTGTTCATATCAACATGATGATAGATCACAACTTTTGTATCAAATCATCCAGAGAGTGAAATTTAAAATAAATAAGAGCTACAAAAGAAAAAACATGTTTACTAAAGATCATAAACCAGAACAGAGGGCAGTAAGCAATTTGCAGGTTGGTGAATTAGAAATTAAAACAATTCATAAAAGCATAACGTGAGACTCACAATGTCTCTGAAAGTGGTAGCACTCCTTAGCTGAGGATGGGTGCTCTGGACAAACCCTGGGTCAGATGCATTCTCTAGTCAGAAAGGAAGGAAGATCCTGTCAAGAGCTTGAAGTAATTATAATGTTCTCAAGCACAAGTGGGAACACAGAATACATTTCCCCTGAGCACACAGGGTTTGTGACTGATGCACACTCTTCAGGTGAGCCAGGTGGTATAAGTGAAATATCTACAGCCACAAATGCTCGCTGTGACATCAATCGGTTAGCAGGTCTGGGCATGTTATCAAGTACAATGCAGCTCCTTCAAGCCTCACTTGTACCTGAAACTGATGAGGAATACATCAGAGTGCATGTTCCATTAAAATGGGTTTAAATTCAGAAAAAACAGTCCCAAAGAGTCACCTTCAGTGTTGTTATACTAAGTGAGAAAAAAAAAACATTCCCTGCACATTTAACACTTCTCTCCAGTGTGAACTCTGTGGTGGCTAGTGTGCTGAGCCCTTCAAGGAAAGGACATCCCACATTCTCTATATCTATAGGCCTTTTCTCCAGTGTGAACTTCTCTGGTATTCTTTGAGGATAGACTTATCACTGAAGGACTTTCCACAATAGCACTAATATGGCTTGTTGTCACTGTGAACTCTCAGGTGCCTAATAAGGTGACATTTTTGGCTAAAAGACTTCCCACATTCAGTACATTCAAATGGCTTCTCTCCAGTGTGAACTCTGAGATGTCTAGTGAGGGGAGCCCTTCGACGAAATGACACCCCACATTCTGTACACTTATAGGGCTTTTCTCCAGTGTGAACTCTCTGATGTTGTTTGAGATAAGACTTATCATTGAAGGACTTCCCACAGTCAGAGCACTCATATGGCTTGTCGTCACTGTGAACTCTCAGGTGCCTAATAAGGTAAGATTTTTGGATAAAAGACTTCCCACATTCAGTACATTCATATGGCTTCTCTCCAGTGTGAACTCTGAGATGTTCTCTGAGGTGAGCCCTTTGACGAAAGGACACCCCACATTGTCTGCACTCATATGGCTTTTCTCCAGTGTGAACTCTCTGGTGTTGTTTGAGATAAGACTTATCATTGAAGGACTTCCCACAATCAGAGCATTCATATCGCTTGTCGCCATGGTGAACTCTCAGGTGCTTTGTAAAGTAGGATTTTTGGCTAAAAGACTTCCCACATTCCGTACACTCATATGGCTTCTCTGCAGTGTGAACTCTGAGATGTTCTCTGAGGTGAGCCCTTTGACGAAAGGACACCCCACATTGTCTGCACTCATATGGCTTTTCTCCAGTGTGAACTCTCTGGTGTTGTTTGAGATAATACTTATCATTGAAGGACTTCCCACAGTCAGAGCACTCATATGGCTTGTCGTCACTATGAACTCTCAGGTGCCTAATAAGGCAAGATTGATGGACAAAAGACTTCCCACATTCAGTACATTCATATGGCTTCTCTCCAGTGTGAACTCTCCGATGTTGTTTGAGGGTAGCCTTATCACTGAAGCACTTTCCACAATCACAGCACTCATATGGCTTTTCGCCACTGTGAACTCTCAGGTGCTTTGTTAAGTTGGATTTTTGGCTAAAAGACTTCCCACATTCAGTACATTCATATGGCTTCTCTCCAGTGTGAACTCTCCGATGTTGTTTGAGGGTAGCCTTATCACTGAAGCACTTTCCACAATCACAGCACTCATATGGCTTTTCGCCACTGTGAACTCTCAGGTGCTTTGTTAAGTTGGATTTTTGGCTAAAAGACTTCCCACATTGCATACACTCATATGGCTTCTCTGCAGTGTGAACTCTCTGGTGTCTAATGAGTTCAGGTCTTTCTCTGAAGAATTTCCCACATTCACTACATTCATACTGTTTTTCTCCAGTGTGAACTCTCTTATGTCGAATGACATTCAAGTTTTTTCTAAACACTTTCCTACATTTGTTAAACTCATAAATCAGTTCTCCAGAAAATACACCCTGATGTTGAACAACTTTCAGGTTGTGTTTGGCAGTGTTTTCACATTCACCCCACTGGTGGTGACTATTTCCATGAAGAAATTGCTGTGAAATCTCACTGCCACAGTGTAGCTCCTTGGCCTGGTGCTGGAGAAGCTCTGAGTTGTACTGCAAGTCTTCCCCAACCTGCCTGCTGGTGGAAGGCACCAACGATAATAAATTGGACCTACTCACTGAGGAGGCCCTATCCATAGCTTGTTTCCAGGGCTCCTCTCCACATTCATTCCTCTGTTGCTGGTGAAGGTTTGCACTGAAACAGAAGTCTCCAACACATGTGTCACTACAGAAGGCTTTCAGCTCAAAGTCTCCGGCATGTGACCCAGTCAGGTGCAAAATACCTTTTAACACAGAGAAACACCGCTTACACAGAGGGATCTTCTGGGTGGCTGGAGCTGTCTTAGAAGCCCTGACCTGCGACTCTCCTTTTATAGGTACACTCTGAGCAGAACAGGCCTCATCACCGTTGATTTTATGCCAACAACCTGAAAAATGAGAAAGGGTAAAGAAAAGAATGTTGAATGTGGTGACAGGAAGTCCCATTACTAAAGTGTATTACAGATCACAAGTTGTTTCTATTCAATTGTCTGAAAATAAGAGATGTGTAGGAAGGATTGATAAGAGGCTCTTGAGACTTCCTGGGCTAATGAAGATCACAAAATAGGGAAGCCTCACCAGAAATAAGACACAAACATGGCAAGCACCACATGGATGAGAATATGGATTTCCAGCTAATACTTCTACTAACAGCATTTGGCATGGCTTGTCTGCTGGGGACAGGGACAAACTGTACAAGAATTGGTCAGTTCTTACTCCAAGTAAAATTCAATAAAGGCATAGCTGGTTTGAGGACTAATTAGCATGTATGTGCACCTCATTACACACATGCAAGTCAATGTTGCAGAATACTGCAGAGGCACCAGTGTAGCGGAACAGGTGATGAAGAGGTGAGCAGTCAGCTCTGGGCCAGAGCAACACAGATTGCTCTAGTATTCAGGGAAGAGAATATGATAAACAATTGATTTAAGGTCTCACAAGAACAGCCTATTGTTCATGTAAGTAAATACCACAACATGGAACAGTTCACCACAAAGAACCTCTATCTAGAGAAAAAAGGCAGAAGTTGAAGCCATGCATGTGGACACTGTCAGCCTCCCATGAAGAGAACGTGCAAGGTGGGACACTTAAACTCACTGCAAGATTCATGACTCTCTGTTTCCTATGCTTTTTGAGGTAACACAGGTTAGCGGGATGTTCATGGAGTTCTTTGCTCAGGACTCTCCATCCAGCTCATCCCTGGCAGCCACAGCTCATTTGACAAGACAGTGGGGAAATTTAGCAGAAACCATATTCTTGCTGTGGGAGAGAGAAAGCTATGAAAGGAAAATAAAGGAAGAGAGGGCATCACTTCAGGACACTTGGGAGAACATCAAAGTCTTACCTACAGATGACACAAGTGCAAACACTTCCAGCATCACATCAAAGTACAGAAGTCTCTGAGCCTCATCAAGGAGCCCCCATTCCTCCTGAGAGAAGAAAATGGCCATGTCCTCATAGTTCATATCCTGTCATAATGGGGACAGAACAGCCCAAGATCAGATTCACTCCTATGACTGTAAGTCTGTCATGCTCCCGACCCTCCAAATCCATCTGCTCTGTCTACTCTTCACATCAGAGAAAATACCAGGCCTTCATTCCATGAAAGCCACTGTCTTCTTATATTCCTACTGACATTTTGTCTACCCACTATATTAAAGGCATTTGAGCTGAAACCGGTTTGGCTCAGTGGATAGAGTGTCGGCCTGCGGACTGAACGGTCCCGGGTTCGATTCCGGTCAAGGGCATGTACCTTGGTTGCGGGCACATCCCTAGTGGGAGATGTGCGGGAGGCAGCTGATCGAAGTTTCTCTCTCATCGATGTTTCTAGCTCTCTATCTCTCTCCCTTCCTCTCTGTAAAAAAAATCAATAAGATATATTTAAAAAAATAAAATAAAGGCATTTGAGCAGATAAAAGATACCTGAGCTCTGGACCTTCTGTGCACGCTACACTGACTTTTATCAACAGAGTGTGTCAAAACCATAGGTTAAAGAGAGATGTTGGCCATAAAGATAGTGTGAGTGATTGGATACTGGTCTTGTCAGGCAATACCCTCAGATTGTTTCTCAAAGACACCAAATACACGGCATCCCACTTCGCCCTCTTGACCCCAATCACAAGGTGCTGAGACCATAGCTCTGCACTGCCTGTTGCACAGAGTTCTTTGAACAACACTTCTCTCACACAGCTTCATTCCCAGAAGCACAACTGCAAAGGTGATGCAAATTTGCTGTGATGAGGACAAATTGTTTCCTAATCACTTTTTTCCCCAAAATTATAGTCCACCATCTTCATAATCTCTTACCCCTTACCCTTCTCCCTTACCCATTCCAGTGGAGATTTTGAAGCCTGGGTAACACTGATGCATGCTATCTCACTATTAACCAGGGTGTCATCCCCAACACCAAAAAGCAGGTGGTCAGTTAAATGGCACCTAAGCTCTGTACCTTGAATGTAACACCAAAACACCCCTCCTTAGATGCAATTACCCTAAAATCCACCTTATTGGATCATCCAGACACCACCAGAAATAGACTCCCCATCATTCACTCTTCTGTCAGTGTCAGGGTGCTGTGGCCATCAATTCACATTCCCTCTTCAAGTGCATATCACTCTTTTCCACACCTGGCTCACACCTGCACTCCCTCAGCCCCAGCCCCCATAGTCCTCTGCTTGGCCTCTGAGTTATTACTCGGCATGTGTTGTCCAGAGAATGCTTGCCAACATCTCTCACTTAACAACCAACTCAAGTCCCAGCCCCGATGGCCCTCTGCATCATGTCCATTGATTCTCACAGACGAGCACTCAAGCCTCTAAACTAATCCACAAGACTGACTGCAAATTCCCACAGCCAGGCCACACCAATGGTCATAAAAAATCCTGGTGAGTGTTTAGAGAAATTAATATGTACCACCCCTAGTCTAATCTTATTTGAATAACTCTTCCGCCTCCTAATTAACCTCAGGTCTACTCATCTTCTAAAGGTCTTGGCCACTGCAAAACCATGATCTCTCCCTGACACTGTACAGGACAATTTCTGTCCCTGTGCTGTGTTGTGACCCACAAATACTGGCCAAAGCAGGAAAGCCAGTCCTCAGGCTCACACTGACCCTTCTGAGCTACTACTACCATTACCAACCTGACGATGATTGCCTGTAGAAATGATCTACAGTCCTGGTTGAAGTGTGTCTCAGCTGGTTGAGCATAGACCCATGCACTGGTAAAGTCATATGCCTTGGTTGTAGACTAGATCCAAAATAGGAGTCATGGAGTAGAAACTGATCATTTTTTCTTGCTCATCACTGTTTCTCTGTCTCTCTCCATCTCCCTTCCTTTCTATGTCTAAAATCAACATATATACACTGGGTGGCCAGATTATTATGATCACCTGACATTTGTAGGCAAATTAGCTATAATTTCATGCTGAAGTTGCTAGAGGGCCAGACCATTATAAATAGGGAAGCAGTTTGTTTGCCATGACAGTAGAAGTGATTTTTTTCTAAAGATATGTGTAAATAACGAGATTTAACAGCCTTTGAACGTGGGATGATTGTTGGCACTTGGAGCCATGGAGCGAGTATCAGCAAAACAGCTGAATTAGGTAAATGTTCCAGAGCAGCTGTTGATAGTGTTTAAAGCCTGGACTGTCAGCCAAAAATCTGGGTCTGAACGTGCGAATTGTGGCCGTCAGCGAATAGTCAATGTTAGGCCAAGACTGGTACAAGACAACAGAAGGGCAACAGTGGATTAAATTTATGCAGATCTTACTCAGGGATCCTCTCAAATGATCTCTGAACGCACAATAATAATCTGGCTACTCAGTGTGTGTGTGTGTGTGTGTGTGTGTGTGTGTGTGTATATAATATACACTGAGTGGCCAGATTATTATAATCTCTGAACGCATAATAATCTGGCCACTCTGTGTGTGTGTGTGTGTGTGTGTGTGTGTGTGTGTGTGTGTTTATATATATATATATATATATATATATGTATATATGTATATATATATATATATGTATATATGTATATATATATATTTAAAAAGCATACCTGCACGTTCCTAAATCAGCTCACTCTTCACTCCAAGCCTCTGCACATTCTGGAACCTATGCCTTGGCAGTCCTCCCACTTATTACACTGGTTTCTAAAAACAAGGTCCACGTCATGAAGCCCTAGTCCTGTCCTTAGGATTCTGGGCTTAGTGTCTGTTCAAAGTCCCCAGGTCCAAGGGCTACAAGAGTGGCTGACAGTCCCAGGACACCACTATCTCAGAGGCCACAAGTTTGTCAGGCCCTGAAATAAGTTCCACAAACCTTGTACACCTAATCGATTCTGCATTTGCAGGAATTTGTGGAAAGGAAATGGTCTGTTGTGAGCCTGGCAAACACTGCCAGGATCTAGGGGTTAAGGCTGCTCTGTACCCTTGCCCAGCCCATAGGTCAGGTGACCTTCAGATGCCTGTATTATCTCAGGGCTCAGTGCTTAGTGCTCACTCTTGCCAGTTACCTTATCATTTACAGGACTTCTCCTTCCTGTCCACAACTGCTGTCCTCTGTCTTCTAGTCTGTTCCTCCTCTGAGCAATGATAGTTAAAGTTAGAACCCTAATTCAGAAAATGTTCCCCCCCTTTTTTCACAACCATCTATTGTTAAGTCTGATCAAATAATTGAATAGATACCCCCTCCCCTGGGAACTTACCTTTATGCCATTTCACAATGGACATTCTACTTGCTTGGACCACATTCCACTTGCTAAGACTGTTATCTCTCCCCTCCAACATTTCCCAGAATGCAGACCTAAACAGAGAATTCTCTGACCAGGAATAGCCCACCTTAGAGTCCATTAAAAATCTGACTCCCCATCTTTGGGCGCTGGTGCCATTTTGGGGCTCAGCCCATCTGATACCCTGATGACCTAATAAATTCATAATTCTTCACCCTTTCTGGTCTTGTGCGATCCTCCTTCGGTGACCCTAACATTTGATAGCAAAACATGGGAGGGTTCTATGGGGATGGGGAACCAAGGTTCTGCTTTGGTCAATCAAAGTTTGCTACTCGGAGAGCAGTAGGCAGTGGCAGCTCAACCTGGGCTTTCCTCCAAATTCTATTGGGGTGACTCTATTACAGGCCTCGGTTAGACCTCCCTCCCTTATCAACCATCCTGAGCCAGCCGATGACTATGCCAGATCGGGAACCTCTCCTTCTCCATTGCTGACCCTCCATCCCACACCGGCCAATCTTCTCTAGGTGAGTGACTATCCACAAATTCACTCATCTCAAGTCTTCTGCCCACTCTCTCAAACTGACTTCTCGAAAGTCTCTCATCTTAAAAGTCCTAGCGCTAGGCCAGAAGGAAGACTCCTCAGCCATGTAGCTTTGGGTCTTTCTGGAGTGGGGGCGCCAAGTTCAGAAGGTCATCTCTCATTTCCCATGGTGATTTGTTTAGCTGCGGGGATGCATGCCCTAGTCACCTCTGGGTTTGTGGTCTGTGACTCACCCTTCCTCTCTCATGAGCCACACTCCCTCTGCACACTCACGGGGAAGATCATGCCCAACAACCTCATTTTTTTTTTTTTTTGTAACACTGTTTGGCCATAATATAAAATAGATGATAAGTTCCAATGTCCTAAAAATGGCACTTTTAATTTTAACACATTGCAAAATTTAGATAACTGCTGTTACGGCAATGGAAAATGGTCAGAGATTCCCTACGTACAGGCTTTTCCCACTCTTCAGTCTCAATCCTTTCTCTCAGTTCTGCTCTATCCATTAGACCTTTCTCTTTCACACAAAACATCATACCCCTAACATTTCTGATGCTGAATGTACTTTTGACCCAGCAGACCATAAGCGTCCATCTTCTTACACAACCCTTCCCTCACTTGCAGTAGATTACCAAATCCAGACCCTCCTAACCAGCAACCACCTTCTCCCCAGCTCCTGAAAGCCAAAATCCCAAGAACTCGAGCTCCAATACAGCCTTTTCCCACCTAACACTTGCTCTCGGGCCACTCTAAGACTGCCTTCCTCAACAACTGCTTCTATTCCTACACCCATTCTACCTGAGGGTGGGAGCAGGAACTGAGGGTATTGGCTGGGTATACATTCCATTATCCATGTCTGACCTCACACAGATTGAGAGGCATCTCAGGTATTTTTTTACCAACCCAACCACCTTTACTAAGGAAGTTAAGTACTGGGCCCAGTCCTATGGCCTGACCTGGCATGACATCTGAGTCATCCTGTCGTCCTCTCTCACCCCAGAGGAGAAGGAGCACATCTGACTAGCAGCTCAGGACCATGCTGTGCCCTCCATAGACAGGACTCGGTGGCCAACACAGATGGCGCTATCATGTCAGTTCTCCAGGGCACTGGCTCTGTAGCCTGTCTCATTGTCAAACTCAAAAGGCTGCCCATAAGGCGGTCAATTATGACAAACTTAATGAAATCACTCAAGGTCCTGACCAAAACCAAGTTCTCCTCCTCTCTGGACTCACAGAAGCCTTACACAAATTTACCACCTTAGAACCCACCTCCCTAGAGGGAGCCCTTCATCTGAACAGCCATTCTATATTCCAATCAGCCCCCGGCATACACTATAAACTTTGAAAAGTAGACACAGGTCCACAAACGCCTCAAAAAGACACGCTTAATGTGATCGCTGAAGTTTTTAATAATAGAGAGGAGGAGACCCCAATTCAAAAACAAAGGTGAGATCAGGCCAAGGCTGAGGCCCAGGCGAAGGCCCATCAGCTCCTAGCCACTGCTCTCAAGAACCCCAAATGAAGTGCTGGTCCTCCAAACAAGGGTGAGTCAGGGGCTAAGCCTCTTCCGGGCCCAAGCTTCAAATGCAACCAGGAAGGACTAAGTCCTGCTCAAACCCGAGACCCCTGGCTGTGCCCTACCCACAGTGAAGAAGGGAATGCCAATGGAAATCAGACTGCAATCTGGCCCCTCCAGGTCAGACATCGGCCAGCCCAGCAAGGCCACCTTATGGATCCGCTTTGAAGCTCCCAGAGCTCCTGGAAATGGCCACCGAAGACTGAAGCCGTCCAGGCCCGGAGAGGGCTCCACAGACTTATGTCAGCAGGACAGAGCCTCGGGTAACAATGTGGTGGCAGGTAAGCCAATCTCCTTTTTAATTGGCACTGGGGCCACTTATTCTGCCCTCCCAGAATTCACTGAGACCCTTTTCCCCTCCTCAGTCTCTATTATGGCGGTTGACGGATTAGTTTCAGTCATTAGCCACCTCACCTCTACACTCTATCTTATTAAATACCCCCATCAACTCTTTCCTCTTTCTACCTCAGTGCCCAACCAGGACTACAGTGCATCCCCTCATAAACCTGACTGTCCCAAACAACAGTCACCTACCTCAGTGTCACTCTCACCCCACACACCTGTGCCATTCCTTAGACGGTAAATGCCTTATCTCCTCCATGACTGTCCTTCCTTCTGAACAAGAAATACTCTCCTTTCTCAGGCTCGCTGGGTACTCTTGCCTCTGAGTTCCCAGCTTCAGTCTTCTCACAAAGCTACTCTATGATAGGACCCCCGCCTCACTGAGCCTTTAGATCCTTTAATGCTCTGAAAACTGCTCTCACCTCCGCGCCTTCTGACATCCCCTCACCCCCTTCCCAAAGAACAACTTTCTTTGCTGCAAAACTAGAAATGCTTACTTAAAAGTCTGGCTACTATCAGAAGCTGAACTCATTACCACCCAAACCTGAGCCTGTTATCACTAAGGAAAAATGTGGCAGTTTTAAATCCAAGCGCCTGGAGGCCTGGGGACAGCCTGCAGGGCCTGCTCTCTCCTCCCCTTGTCTTTTCTCCAGCATCATGTGCCTACACATGCTTTTCCAGAGTCTTTGGTAGCTTAAAGGTTTTGGAGCATTGCTGGTTTAAATGATAAACATCTAAATACTTTAAAACAGAATAAAATACTGAAATATTGATTGCTAGACATACTTTAATTTGCATGCTCTTCGTTATTATTATGCATGGTCTCTTGTACTTTGAGGAAGGCATATTAAAGTAAGAGTGTGTTTAAAGTGTGTTCATAAATGTAAATGCTCTTTGTTTACTTTTTGGCTAAAGCTGGTTACTTGTGAATGGGTAGGATTGTGTTAACCTGTGAGTCAAGACCTGATCACCCCTGATGTCCCAGAGGAACCCCTTCTCTCCTAGTAAGCTAAAGCAGCCCCTCCCAGATTCTCTCCTGTTGCTTACATCCTTAAGTTGAAGCCTACACTTTATTTCCAGCGCTCATTAACAGTTCTTGTCACTACCATGGAAAGCCTCACAGGTATTCCTGCTTGATATTTGGGAACATCTCTCCCCTTTTCTAGCCTTCTTAAACGTAAAATCCCTGGACAAGACTGGCAAATTGACTTCATTCACATGCCTCCTATTAAACACACACACACACACACACACACACACACACACACACACACACTGCAAAGGACACAAAGTAGGGAAAGATTCCATAATACAGGGAAATAACAGAGCAGACAGGAGGCCAAGACAGTGGCTCAGGAGAAGCCCCTGTCTCCCCAACTCTTAGCTATACCCCATGTAACACCAGAATACACTCCAGAGGAACTTCAGTCCCTAGTAGCTCTTGGGGCTATGCAGGAAGATCCATGGTTAAAATTGTCGGGGAAAATATATCCTGCCCCAGGGACAGGCCTATGATAGCTTACAGGCTATTAAAAGTTTCCTATGTATAGGATACATTTACAACTCCTACAACCCCTCATCACATGTCCTAGCCTAGCCTTCCTACTGCAAGATATCTCCAAACCTGTTCTACTTGTTACTCAGTATCTCCCCAAGCACAGGTTAGACTTCCTTCTTTCCCCACTCATCAGGCAAGGGGGCAAATCCCTGGACAAGTCTGGCAAATTGACTTCACTCACATGCTTCCTATTTTTAAAAAAGGAAAGAACAAATATCTCCTAACCCTTGTAGATACCTTCTCAGGCTGGGTAGAAACATTCCCCATTGAGTCTGAACAGTCCATTGAGGTCACACAAGCTCCCATTCAGCACATCATTCCCAGATCCAACCTGCCCACCTCATTACAAGCAGATAATGGACCTGCTTTCATATATCAAATAACTCAACAGGTCTCCTCCACTCTGAATATCCTGTGGAATTTACACCCCCACCAGCCCCAATCTTCAGACAAGGTAGAAAAGAGAAATTCCTTTGTTAAGTCCCACCTAACTAAATTAACTCTCAAAACTAAAGAACCTTAAACTGATCTCCTACTGCTAGGCTTTATGCACAACAGAGCAATCCCCCCACCATGCACCCTCCTTTCTTAGTCCCTTTGAATTCATGTATGGAAGACTCTTCTTATTAGGAAACTTGCCTTCCACAGAAACCCTCTCGGAGTCTATGTCCCCATTTTAAATCTATTCCAACAATTACTGAGAGAACATGCTAATCAAGCCCTCCCTCCACCTTCTAAGGGAGACATCTGCTAAGCCTCTACAGCCAGGGGACTGGGTCCTCACCGTGGTCGGCAAACTGCGGCTCGCGAGCCACTTGCGGCTTTTGGCCCCTTGAGTGTGGCTCTTCCTAAGCCTTAGGAGTACCCTATTTAAGTTAATAACAATGTACCTACCTATCTAGTTTAAGTTTAAAAAATTTGGCTCTCGCCGAGACCGGTTTGGCTCAGTGGATAGAGCGTCGGCCTGCAGACTGAAAGGTCCCAGGTTCGATTCCGGTCAAGGGCATGTACCTGGGTTGCGGGCACATCCCCAGTAGGAGATGTGCAGGAAGCAGCTGGTCGATGTTTCTCTCTCATCGATGTTTCTAACTATCTCTCTCCCTTCCTCTCTGTAAAAAATCAATAAAATATATTTAAAAAAAAAAAAAATTTGGCTCTCAAAATAAATTTCAATGGTTGTACTGCTGATATTTGGCTCTGTTGACTAATGAGTTTGCCGACCCAAAGGAAACCCACCCATCAAATAATTTACAGCCCCGATGGCAAGGCCCTTAGCAGGTGCTCCTAACCACCCCACTGCAGATAAACTATCAGAGCAAACCCCGTGGTTCCACCTTTCCAGATTAAAGCCCATCCCCAGAACATTTCATCATGTGAGCTCAGTCCCCTAACTATTACAGCCACCAGATTGGGCCCACCAGACCCCGCCTTACCCTCATCTATCGCTCACCCAATGCAGATGTAGCCCCCAACAATCAGTGTTTACCCGTCCCCGTAACCCACCATATCCGACTCAAAAGCACAGTTCAGATAATCCCTCTCCTCATAACCCTGGGCATCACATCAGAGGTTGGAACTGGCACAGGGGGCCTAACCACTGCTCTATCCTATTTTTTAATCCTGTCTCAGGACCTACAAGAAAGCTCTGGATGCCAGCAAGGGGCAAAACTGGGAAACAAGAACCTCGCCCCCAGGGTAACCTACCCTCCCCTAGCAAATAACTCGTCAGGCAACTAAGACCCCTGACCTTTTCCTCCCTAAAGATCACATCTAGGCCTCAGTTGCATTTCAGCTCCAGGCCCAGAAAAGCAGCAAAACCAGACAAGTGACGCTGTGGCAGCCTTGGGAGCAGCTTCTGCCTCCCAAGTCCCCCAACAGGACCGTTTTCGAGCCTTCCAGGTGGCCTAATAAATCCATAATTCTTCTCCCTTTTGGGCCCTAGTGTGTTCCTCTTTCCGCGACCCTAACATCTATGGCCCCAGCGTCCTGAGAATGAAAGGAAAACTCCTTCCTGTCCACAGCTGCTCTCCTCTGTGTTCTAGTCTGTCCTTCCTCTGAGCAATGTTAGGAAAAGTTAGAATCCTGCCTCAGAAAATGTCCCTCTTTTTTTCACAACCATCCATGTCCCCTGCGTTCTGAGAATGAAAGTAAAGCTCCTCCTGCAAAACCACACCTCGTCTCTCTGTTGCCTTTACACCCACAACAGCCCGGGTTCCCGAGTCCTCCCTGCTCGGTCGCACCATCACGTCCTTACAAGGCGGCCCTGCAGCCTTTCACCCTCTTCCCCCATCAGCCATTTGTCACCCACGAGGGACTCACCATTCTGAGCGCTGGGACCTGGGCGGCGGGACCTGAGAGGCCGGTCCCCAAGGCTGGAGGGTGAAATGGGGTCAGGCTGCGGGGACGCTGTGAGCAGAGAGGAGTCCGGGAGGCACGGGGACCCCAATCTCCGGCTGTTGGGCTCAAGGAGCCTCAGACACACCCCGCACGGCAGGCGCGCTGCCTCCCAGGCCTCCTCTTCCTCACGACCAGCGCCGCCCTGAAGCCTGTGAGTCTGTGAACAAAGACCTAAAAAGTTAAAATGACCACCGTGAGGAGGAAGGCGGAAGTCCCGCCCTAACTGGATGCGCAGACGACGAAATGCCCTTTAACCCCGCCCACATGCGTGCCGTGCCGTCTGGGTAATGTAGTTTTCTCAACAGCTCAGTGTAGTACTAGCATCTCAGCCTATGAATTATATGAATAAAGGTGATGTGGCCCAGCAAGTGATGCCTGGGGAGGGAGTAGATGGGACCAGAGGCCTGGCTAACTGGATCAGACTGACAGATCTCTGAGGAGAAGAAGGTGGGAGGACTGCCAGAGATCCACCAAAGAATATATACAGAGGGGGAAATGGGAGACATCGATAATATATCAACAATAAAAAATATATGTATTTTCGTAAATTTTAAAATAATGCAGCCCAGGTGGTGTAGCTCCGTGGTTGAGCCTTGACCTGTGAACCAGGTCACGGTTCTTTTTATTTTATTTTTATATTTTAAAATCATTTATTTTTATAGTATTACATGTATTATTTCATATAACCCCCTTTTCACCCATTGAGCTATGCCCAGCCACCCCCACCCCTCAGCACGTGCCCTTAGCCCCCAAAGTATCTGTGTCCATTGTTATGCTTATATGAATGCATGTAAGTCCTTTGCTTTATCCCTTAACTCCCCTCACTCTCTTAAATAACCCTCTGAAGTTTGACAGTCTGTTCGATGATTCTATGACTCTGAATGTATTTTTGTTCATAAATTTATGCTGCTCATTATATTCCACAAATAATGAGGTCATGTGACACTGGTTCTTTTCCTGGTCAGGGCACATACATGGGTTGCAGGATCACTTTCCAATGTGGGGGTGGAGTCATGCACAAGGCAACCAATCAGAAATTCTCTCATCATTGATGCTTTTATCTCTCCCTCTCCTTCCACTCTCTAAAAGCAGCAAAAACATTTTAAACCAAGTATATACATATATACATAGGCCATGGACATATGCAGTAATGTGGGGAGGGACTAGAAGCAGGGGGGGCAGGGTAGAGGGAGAAAATGGGGGAGGAGTATGGGGGAAAATTGAGAACATCTGTAATAGCGTCAACAATAAAAAATAATAGTGTGCACAGCGGTGAGGCTCAGTGGTTGGGCGTGTACCCATCAACCAACATATCATTGGTTGGATTCCAGATCAAGGCACATACCCAGGTTGGGGGTTCCATCCCAGTAGGGGGAATGCTGGAGGCACTGGTCAATGATTCTCTCTCATCATTGATGTTTCTTCAATTCCCTTTCTCTTTAAAAAATCAATCAAGACATTTTAAAAATGAACAGTGTTAAGATTGATTTGACTCAACAACAACAAAGTGATTGTGGGCCATCATGTTTTCTTCCAAGTCCTGTAAGCAAAATCAAGCCTTGTTCTGTCTTTATACAGGATGTCCCAGGCATAACATTTTGGGCACAGGATCCAGCCTGGAGTTGGTCTGCCTCAGCTTGGCCTCTAATGTTTGAGTTCTTGACTTCATGCAGAAAAGATTTCACAACAGGAGTTCAAATATTTTTATTGATTTTTTCCTTTATTGATTAAGGTATTACAAATGTGTCTTTAACCCCCCATTGTCTCCTCACCCCACCAATTTTGCCCTCACCCTCACCCCCTGCTGTCTGCATCCATTGTTTATGCTGATATGCATGCATACATGTCCTTTGGTTGATCTCTCCCCCTAACCCCCATCCTCCCTACATTCCCTCTGAGGTTTGAGGATCTAATCAATTCTTCTCTGTCTCTGAATCTGTTTTTGTTCATGGGTTTATGTTGTTCATTATAATCCACAAATGAGTGAGATCATGTGATATTTATCTTTCTCTGACTGGCTTATTTCACTTAGCATAATGTTCTCCAGCTCCATCTACGCTGTTGCAAATGGTAGGAGTTCCTTCCTTTTTACAGCAGCGTAGTATTCCATTGTGTAGATGCACCAAAGTTTTTTAATCCACTCATCTGCTGATGGGCACTTAGGCTGTTTCCAGATCTTAGCTATGGTGAATTGTGCTGCTATGAACATATAGGTGCATATATCCTTTCTGATTGGTGTTTATAGTTTCATGAGATATATACCTAGAAGTGGGATCATTGGGTCAAATGGGAGTTCCATTTTTAGTTTTTTGAGGAAACTCCATACTGTTCTCCACAGTGGCTGCACCAGTCTGCACTCCCAACAGCAGTGCACAAATGTTCCTTTTCCTCTGCATCCTCCCCAGCACTTGTCATTATTGATTTGTTGATGATAGCCATTCTGATAGGTGTGAGATGGCACCTGATTGTTGTTTTGATTTGCATCTCTTGGGTGATTAGTGATTTTCAGCATGTTTTCATATGTATTTTGGCATTTCTTATGTCTTCTTTTAAAAAGTATCTATTTAGGTTCTTTGCCCATTTTTTGATTGGGTTGTTCTTTCTTTTGTTAAGTTGTATGAGTTCCCTGTAAATGTTGGAGATTAAACCCTGATTGGAGATAACATTGGCAATTATACCAGTGGGCTTTCTGAGCCTAGCCCTTGTTTCCTACATTCCACTAGTTACCAGTCAGCAGGGCCAGGCCTTCTCTGATATCATCCAGCATGTTCACCCTGTGACATAACAGGATTCTCCCCGCACCAAAGTCTCTACACATACATAAAACCCACATATTCCCAGTATTAATTGCATATGACAGAGGTGAGCAGGTCTCACTTCCCAAATGGACCTTCGACAACACTCCATGCCTCCTCCTCTAGGCTCAGCATGTGCTTCAAAGTGAGTGCTGTTATATGTGCAGCATCACAGAGAGAGATGTACAGTGATCTTTTTCCAAGGAACCAGATGGCTGCTGGCCGAGGCAGTCCACCTTGACTTAGAAGACGAGAGGGTGTGCTTACAGGGGAGGTTCCAGTGCTGTGGCGGATGCTCTGTGCTGCATCCACCAGTCCCTGTGGCCATGGATCAATACTGTACCCTCAGACTGTTTTTTAAAGCATATACCCTGTGGGCATGTGCATCCTACCATGTGTATATTGATGCGTTGATTTTAAAAGTACTGACTCTTTTAGCATAAACACTACAGCTTGTTGAAAAGAAGGATCCCTGAGAGTGACTTGCAGGTTAGAGCTCCCTTTCTGGAGGCCATGGTGAGGAAGTTTGATGACATCTATAAAAAGGGAAGCGGGGGCACAGAGTGTGACAACCTGTTCACCATCATTGCCCATTTGTATGACTTCCACCTGGTACAGTTTCTCCTCATATTCAACATTTTGGAAAAACTTACTGGAAGTTTCGCAGAGAAAGAAATGGAACTGATCCTATTAATGCTGAGAAATGTGGGCTTTTCGTTGAGAAAAGATGATGTTTTGTTACTAGAAGCGATTACAGAGACCCAGGCCAAAGCCAATGGGGAAGGTGGCAAGTGCCAGGACAAGACCAGGTACAATGGGTCACTTGACCTGCCTCCTAAGTGCCTAAGTTCTCAGAAGCTGACCGGCAAGTAGAAATAAGTGGGGTAAATGCTATGTTTCATTTCCTAGTAATCTTTATCTTCTGCTTCTGTAATTTGATTTTTTTTAATCTTTAAAACTAGAGGCCGGGTGCACAGATTCGGCTCTCCGACATCCTTCGAGGGGTCCCAGATTGGGAGAGGGTGCAGGCCAGGCTGAGGGAACCTTCCTGTGGGGGAACCCTTCTTCCTGTGGGGGAAACATTTCTGTGGGGAATGCATCTTCCTGTGGGGGATATGCACCTTCCTAGGGGAAACCCACCTTCCTGTGTGAGAAACGCACCTTCCTTGAGGGGAAAGGCACCTTCCAGTGGGGGAATGAATCTTTCCATTGGAGAACCCTTCATCTATGGGGGAAATGCATCTTCTTGTGGGGGGAACACACCCTCCTGTGGGGGAACCCTTCTTCCTGTGGGGGAAAGCACCTTCCTATGGGGGAAACACATCTTCCTGTGGGGGATATGCACCTTCCTGTGGCAAAACCCACCTTCCTTTGGGGAAAATGCACCATCTGTGAGGGAACACATCTTCCCATGCAGGAAGTGCACCTTCCTGTGGGGGAATGCATCTCCTGTGGGAAACCCTTCTTCCTCTGGGGGAAATGCATCTTCCTGTGGGTAACGCACCTTTCTGTGCAGGAGTGCATCTTCCTCTGGGGAAAACACATGTTCTTTAGAGGGAACGCATATTCCTGTGGGAGTAACACACCTTCCTGTGGGGGAACACACCTTCCTGTGGGGGAAATGCACCTTTCTGCTGGAGAACCCTCCTACTTGTGGGGAACACTTCTTCCTGTGGGAGAAATCATCTTTTGGTAGGGGAAATGCACATTTCTGTGAGGGAAACACAACTTTCTGTTCAGGAATCCTCTCTGTGGGGAAAATATACCTTCCTGTAAGGGAACACATCTTAGGGGTAGGGTGACAGGGTGAAGCAACTTCCTGTGGGAGAAGCCTTCTTCCTATGGGGGAAACTCATTTTCCTATGGGGGATATGCACCTTTCTGTGGTGAAATGCACCTTCCTTGGGGGAACTCTTCTTCCTGTGGGGGGAAACTCAACTTCATGTGTGGAAACCCACCTTCCTGTGGTGGAAATGCACCTTCCTATGGGGAACCCTTCTTCCTGTGGGGGAAACTCACCTTCCTGTGGGAGAACCCTTCTTCCTATGGGGAAACACATCTTCCTGTGGTGGAATACTTCCTGCTGTGGGGGAAACTCACCTTCCTGTGGGAGAACCCTTCTTCCTATGGGGAAACACATGTTCCTGTGGTGGAATACTTCCTGTGGGGGAAACACACCATCCTATGGTGGAACCCTATTTCCTGTCTTAGAAATGCACCTTTCTGTGAGAGAACCCTTCTTCATGTGGGGG